GTATTGGGTCATAGTCACGGCAATTCGGTGATGTTTTCGGCACCAAATCGCATATTTCCCGATAAAATATGGCAGATGGAAGTAAATAACGTCTACAAAGGTGATATTTCACAGTAATAAAGAAGTATTTGGTTCATAACTGGATCGTATGGGGTAGTATTGGGTAGTATTGGGTGGTTTTGGGTAGTATTGGGTGGTATTGGACTATTGGGTAGTATTGGGTAATTAGACGCGCCCTCGAAAACCGATGACACCAACCAGGGTACATCAACTGAAACACAATAACTGAATAAAGCAGAAAAGTGGAGGGACGAACTTTAGTCAACATGACACAGTAACACCTGAGTTTACACATATCATACTAAATCTACATATCTTACCGTCAAACAAATCATCGTCAAACAGCTGCAAATACTGCTGGGTTACGGCCGCCGACATTGCACGTTGTGATTTTTTTGTCCGACGTTCACTGTTGAAGTATTTTTCTTGGTGCGACGATATACCGGATTCAACGATGTACAGGATCGGACAGGATCCGAGAACAACATCAATGAGGCTTTAACTTATACTGCAAAAAAGTTTGTACGCTAGCGTACATGTCACTTTTTTTCACTCGTTACTCCCATTCAAAACTTAAACAGATACGTTACACATTGTATTGGTCAAGTGTTACACTCGTGCTACATCAATGAAATGATCACTTGTGACACGGAATTAGGTTATCTAAGTCCGTGCTTGTGATGACCTATATGCGCCTATCTCAAATGTTCACATAACCAAGTCGATTTTATCTGGGAAATTAATGCACCAAAACAGAAACGTGATCAAAGTGAACATTTACACGTTACATGTTTTCCAAGTGATGTGATCCCTTATCCTCACATATCCATCCTTTTCTTTCATAGCTTTTCACTAATTAGTTCTTTAAAATCCTTTATAGTAGTTAAATTTATTTGAACATCTACAATAACGTACACAAATTAACCATTATTATATGTGCATTCATGCCTTTGGATTTCCCAAGATTTGAAAATGTTCCCCTTGAAAACTAAGCCACCTGATGCAAGTACAGTTTGTAAAAGGTCTAATTACATTGTTCCCATCAATATCCCACGAAACAAAACCAGAATCTAGAGTATCTTTGTTAGAAGCTACGATTATAGAACCATTTACAACGTATCTGGTCGGCAAAACTGTTTACGTCAGCAAAATTAAATTCACTCGGTATTCGCTTTAAATTTACACATTGTACAACAATGTTAGACTTCAGTTTTATCGTGTAAGAAGTACAGCTTTATTAGACAAATACAGGTGACGTATCTGCTGAAATTTTAACGGACAAACCACGAATATCGAGTTTCATGCAGGATACTTGATAGGCCTATATACTTAAGGAATTAATGTCGATTGATTTATATGCGATATAAGATACCTTTAGTCAATATACCAGGATATTTTAAACTTGTATTCACCGATAATAAATGCTTGTATTATGGGTGTTTTGTTTAGTAACGTATCTGGCAAGACATTTTGCGACAGTAGATAATCGCTAAAAAATATTGTTTTAGCTTAAATTATTGATATTGAATTAATCAAGTTTTGTTTAGACAAAAGTAAACTTAAACTATGAAAGAAAACATATGAATTTTAACTTAACTGAAAAAAATGGAAAGCTTTTTGTACCAGAAAAAGTGACACGATAACGACTATTCGAGTATAATGGCATGTATGAAAAATTTACCGTACGTTTTTTTTTGTTTTTGTTTTTGTAAAACATATCAATGTTGAAACAGTGAACTAAAGTTTTGACGTATAGGCGTTGGAAGGATCGTACGACATGATTTTCGGTTAATGGCCACGATATGTGAGAGTGGGCGATATATACACACTACTGCCAACAAAGTCTCACCGCGGACTTAAAGCTTGTGTTTTATAGAATTTTTCGTTCTTGTTTTTTCCCCGTTCTGTCGTTCTTGTTTTTTCCATTCTGTCGTTTTTGTGCTTTGAAATGATTTTTCCATTCTATCCTGTTTGTGTTTTGATATGATTTTTATAAAAAAAAAATGCGTAAAATGGAGACAGTGTTCCTTTTTATATCATGTATGCATATATGTATTTTTGTATTTTTTCTTCATCAAAACGACATATGTAGCGGAACTGGACTGGGTCGATCGTCGACGACCAGTTGGTAGAGCATCTGTCTGACCAGGTGGTAGAGCGTCTGTCTGCTCGTGCATTTACCTTTCACCTATTTTAAGATGCAATAGATAAGTAACTACTCGTACGATTACAAAACTAAACGTTACTGACACGGATAAAACATAGTATATAGTTAGCTTGAAAGACAATAACCCGGCGAAATGTGATTAGAAATGATGTGGGCGGGTTTTGTACAATCTGTTATTTATGATTAACTTTACTTAACATTTGTTTCAAAACGGAAATGAAATTAAAACGTATACATCTAAAGAATTGACGAATACAAAAACCACAGCACTTGTTGTGTAAGGTGCGTTTGTAAAGGTAGATATTTGGGATGTTGTGTAAGGTACGTTTTTAAAGGTAGATATTTGGGATGTTGTGTAAGGTGCGTTTGTAAAGGTAGATATTTGGGATGCGTTTGTAAAGGTAGATATTTGGGATGTTGTGTAAGGTGCGTTTGAGTTGAATTGCAATCAGTCTTAAAAGGAAAACATGATTATTTGTTTAAAACAACGGTATTTTTGCGTGTTTTTCCCATAGCGTATGATGGTATAATAAAAAAAACCCCCGAATATTTCATTCCTTTTTATGTCTGCCTTGATCGGCATCACAGGCTGATCAGCATACTAAAGGTTGCCTTCATAGTTGCTATTTCACACATAACGAAATACGAAATGTGTTTGTGTTGGTTAAAATTTTGAAGAAAAAATCCACCAACCGTGCAAAACGTAAAACACTAAGTCAAACTGCTTGCTTCTCCAAACAATACTTGTTATCGCGACCATCCATGAGTTACTCCCCCTAGAAGAGTTCTTGCCGGAAAATGCACAAGTCTCGCGAGAGAATGCGAGGATACGGGGGCAACACAATCTGCCATGTGTAAACAATATGCCTCACCTTCACTGTACTGAACCAACAAAAAATACTCACAAGAATAGAGGTCACAACAAATGCATTTAGTAATGACATTCCAATCAAATTTTGTGTCCAAAACAAGCCTTCTGACGTTTCATTTACATAAAGGTAATACACAACTCTGTACGCCGCTGACGGTCCGTCACAACTGTGACGCTTTAGCTTCGTCCTCTTTTTCAATATCTTGCCAATTTAACATGTCTGCTTGCTATCATAGGTGTACTAGCTCCCCCTTTTTATTATTTGGAGTAGGTGATACCCTTTGACTTTAAAATATTACCCAATTCATTACATGGAAGTTCGTGGAAATTCGTATCTGAATGTTTTGGCGCTGCCATGTTGTTTATATATCCGTTGCCCCAGCGAGTACAGTTAAATCCCCTCCTATTTGAAGAGTTCCACTGGTCGCGATATCATCTATTCCGTCTTTGCGTGTTGCAGAGTTATCTTCTCTTGGGAGCAGGTATTGATTGTTACGTCATTGGTTTGTGCGAGAAAATAACGTCGTTTTCTCAAAAACTGATGACGTTACCCTCTCAAGCAAGTGACGTAACAATCAATACCTGCTCCCAATAACTCTGCAATACGCAAAGACGGAATTGAGAGGCTACCATATCTATCCATTTATTCTGCACAGAGGCGTATATGCTTTATATCTTTTCTGATTTCAGACTAGATTTTTATGAAAAATATAATGTAGTAGGATTTATTAGTCTGAAATTACTTACATCAGAAGATAATGAGTTTATACATTCAGCCATATCATTAATTCAAACATATATTCATATTTTCCATATAAATGCCCATCTATTTCAATACGTAATTAATTATCGATAATTTTGTAAATATATCTCATTATTATTTTTTTTTTTACATTTTTCTTTTTTCTTTTTTTCAACAGTACATTAAACATAACACATCATATTTCAGTCTCACATTCTTAATTTTCACACAAGTTTTTTGTTTGTCTTGACATTTTTTTGACATTCTTATATTATTACATCGATTTGGGTACCAATGTAGAAAAACAATTATTTTCTTTGTAAGTTTGAAACAAGATACATAGAATAATATTGTATGCATTGTAGTTGAGAAGCAAACAAATACAAAAAAAACCCCAAAAAAACCCAAAACAGTTTGACTATTTTCACATGTTGAAACCAGGATATTAGGTGTTATGTACCATTGTATTGTTTTAGGAGAAGATATAGGAAAGAAAAGAGTAATGAAGAGAGAGAGAGGGACAAGAAAGAAAAGGAAGGTTGGAGAGGTGTCGAAGGATTTGGCAAGGGCTTATTGTTCAATATTGTGTAAATTTTTGTACATAGGCTACCTTTAACAGGAATTACATTGGTACTATATTATTATAATTAATTTACATTTCATTTATATGGCCTGCAGTAATCTTTCCCATTTTTTCCATTCCCTTTTAAAATTAGTGAGATAATTTTCACCATTACCTACAGCAATGTATTTTTGAGTATTGTAAATATCTTTAATTAAGTTTTTCAAAGCTAAAACTGATAGACCAGTTTGCA